ATCTCTGTGAGTTCGAGACCAGCCTGGTCTACAAGAGCTAGTTCCAGGACAGGCTCCAAAACCACAGAGAAACCCTGTCTCGAAAAAACAAAAACAAAAACAAAAAAAAAAATGATACCATGGATCATGTCCACCATGAAACAAAAGAATTTAAAACAATGAGAATAAAAGTGTAGCAAGCAAGATTCCTATTTTTCTTTACTACAGTTAAAACTTAGACATTTCTAGATGCAATGGTCTGAACAAAAAATGGAATTTTTGAAAACTGGGTGTAAGCCACGAACCCTATAATCTCAGCACTCAGGTAGAGGCAGAAAGATCAGAAAGTTCATGATCATTATCAGTTACATAGAGAATCTGAGGTCTTTCTGGGGTACATGAGACCCTATCTCGAAATCAAAAAAAACAAAACAAACAAACACCAAAACTTTAGTTTTGACATACTTTTGCCAAATTCAGTCTTAATGAAAAGAATGTCAAATATTTATCCCTAAGTAATGGTTTCTCTTAATTATTAGAGCATAAAATTAGCCATATTTTGCCAACCTGGCTATATATACTTCAGGTTTTTTTTTCTTTCTCTTCTATACAAAGTTCCTTCAGTTTCAAAAAGACAGGTATGTCTATTAAAGCCAGAGACGACAGAGAATGGAAGAGAACAAAACAAACATAAGCAAGAACTGAGTGTTTAAGGAAGGCTAATTTTGTTCTACAACAGACCATATATCACACCATAGTTAGGAATCTAACTCCAAAGGAATGCCCATGGTTGGATAAGTGAGTCGGTATAGAGCAGAAAGCCCAGGACAAACTGAAATCACCAGTACATTTCACCGCATACTACATCTTGATTAGACTGCATTTTGTTAGGCAAACTACAAAGAATTCAGTTTCAAAAACAAACCACAAGTGCCACATATCTCTATTGTGTAACACTAAAGATATTAATCTGAAGAAAAACAAGGAGAGAGGATGAGAACAGATGAAGGCTACTATGAGGGCACGGGCTCTGAAGCTGATTAATGACGGTGAGGATTAGACATGGAGGGATAATGCTGTGATGATACCCTTATGGTTCCACATCCGGCAGAGTTTCAGAGATGACTCCTTTCTCTTGGGAGGGAAAAAAAAAAACAAGAAAAAGAAAAGAAATGGAGGGACAAACCAGAAAAGAGGCAGGTGGATCTCTGTGAGTTTGAGGCCAGCCTGGTCTACAGAGTGAGTTCCAGGGCAGTCAGGACTATGTAGAGAGAAACCCTGTCTGGAAAAATCAACAATAAAACAAAACAACACAGAGCAAAAAAGAAATGGAGACACAGGAAGACAAAAGGAAGGTGTCAAACTCACTCTGAAGGGCCCTTTTTATTCTATCAAACCAAATACATGCAAGCTATTTTTTAAAGATTTGTTTTTATCGGGGCTGGAGAGATGGCTCAACGGTTAAGAGCATTGCCTGCTCTTCCAAAAGTCCCAAGTTTAATTCCCAGCAACCACATGGTGGCTCACAACCATCTGTAATGAGGTCTGGTGCCCTCTTCTGGCCTGCAGGCAGACATGTAGACAGACTATTGTATCTATAATAAATAAATATTAAAAAAGATTTACTTTTATTTGTGCATAAGTGGGTACTGGTAAGGGCTGTAGTCACTTTTATCTTTGGTGGTATTGCATTGCATTTCAATTTGAATCAACTTGATTTTTTTTTTTGATGTTTTTGTTCTCTTTCTCTTCTTCTTTACCTCTAAATGGAGGAAGTCAGTCAAAAGACTTCCTTAAAATTCTTATTTATTTGAGACAAGCTTTATAGTGGTATGTTATTTATATACTAATAAATAAATCAACCTAAAAACCAGAAAAGCAAAGCAGCAAAGTCACTAGAGAAGTCTTACCTCTACCAAGGCTGGGCAACTACAAACTAAGTAGACTAAGCCTCTTTCTCCTCCCACTTTATATTTCCTCTAGTACTGGGATTAAGGGTGTAGGCCAACACCACCTGGATTTGTTTCTGCATTGATCTTGTTTAGCCCAGGATAGCCTTGAGCTCACAGAGATCCCTCTTCCTCTGTCTCCCAAATCCTAGGATTAAAGGTGTCTGTCACCATTTTAGCTTTGCCTCTGGTCTTCAGGCAAGATTTATTAAAATATAAATAAAATATAAAATATAAATATATACCATTATAAAGCTTTACTATATAGCTCAGGCTAGCCTGGAACTCATGAGCCTCCTGTTTTAGCCTCTTGAGTGCTAGGCTAATTGTTAGGTGTACAGCACTATGCCTGGCTATCTCTTTTAGTGTCCTGCTTGGGCAATTTAATCTATCTCTATCACTTTAATTATTAACTCTGATAAATACTATGGTTCTCAACTTAAATCTTCTAAGCTTCAAATCCACCCATCCAACTGTTTTCTTATTATTTATATAACAACAACTTACAGGTACCTTGAACCTAATGATTTCAATTAAACAGTATCCTTTTGCTTTCCCATCCCTTCAAATTTATTCTTCCCAAAATCAAACTAACATTTGGTCTTGAAAACAATAGTTTACTACTGTCCAGTTCAGTTTGTACTTAATTATATAAATCAGATTCCATGTCATCCTGGATAACTGACACATCTCTAATAGAAAATCTATCAACAGGTCTTAATTTTACTTCTAAAGTATTTCTTGACTCTATCCAATGGTCTCCAAATCCACTTTGTCAGTTTATAATCATATACTTACAAGAGCCTCCCACATGCTACTGTAAGGTTCACAAGGGCAGGCACTGTGCCAGTTCTATTCACTGTAAGAGGCTGGGATCTGGCACAAAGTTGATGCTCAGTAACTATTTCTTTCTTGAATGAATGACTCCTTGTATAGAAATTGCTTAAGGGAAAGCAAACAAACCCACGACAGATCTGCCTATCAGCTGGACATTTGAACACTGAATTGGTGTTGTGACAATTCCAAATTTTTGCTTAAAAAGACTTCCTTGGCCAACTTTAATTTTCTGAAAGCCCTACTTTGTATAAAAGGCTGCTCCCTCTTCCTCTGAACTTTTGACTGTAAGACCGAGGGAACCTATAGGTAGAGGTTAAAGTAACTGGGGACTGCTCTCTGTGGCCTGAGATACCAATATAGAAATAATGAATAAACTAATATTTTGCTTCTTCTAACCAAGCTCTTGTTAGTTCCTATTATGAAGTTTATATATTAAAAGAGAGCTGGGAAGCTCATATTTTATACTAGGTATACACATATGTCTTTGTACATACATAAACAAACACGCAAGCTCTGAAGCCTTTTGCTCTAAATCAAATTCCAGGTTATGATCACTTGTTGAGTTCTAAGTATCTCTGCATAGAAACAAGTTCTTTTGCCTCTAAAAATTTCCTAAAAGCCAAGTATGGTGATTCACACCTACAATATCAGCACTCAGGAGGCTGAGGCAGGAGGATTCCACAAGTCTGAGGCCAGTCTGTTTTTACATAGTGAGTTGCATGCCAGCCAGAATAGGACCTCTCAAGACCCACATATACCAAAAAACTCTAAAAATGTAAAAACTGGAGTTTATACAATCTTGGGAAACACTTTTCCATTTCCTGCAGTGCTACAGATGGTCCCAGGACCATGTGCACGCCAGGCAAAGTACTCTACCAATCACACACATGTCCAACTTGGAAAAACTTTGAAATCCAACTAATAACTATTTCAGTAGTGTGCTTCTGTCTTCCCGCCCTGTTCTTACAGCTCAGGCTACCCCATAATTACGTATCCCAGGCTGGCCTCAAATATCCATCCCTTCCCTAGTGACCCAAGTGCTCAAACTGTAGGCATGAATTGCCATGCCTGGCTTCAATAAACACTTTCAGAATAGTCGGGTATGGTGGTGCACAAAGGCAGAGGCAAGGAGAGTTCCATGACTGGACTGTCTACACAAGGAATTTCAGCCAGGACTACACAGAGACACTTTCCTTCAAATAATCCCACTTAAAGAATGAGTGGTGGATGGCACCATTTCCTTCTCCATCATTTTATCAGGCAGTATTTTATAAAGTGAGGATCTCCTGTACGCAGAAGGATCTCTGAACTCCTCTTTATGTAGGATCAAACTGGCATCACTGATTACTGCTGTAGGCTTTACTCCACACGTGTTTCAGGGGTGCAAGAAACTGTTCTGTCACTGACTGACTTGAGAGGTGACTGCACTCAGTATCAAGCCTGCAGTCCATAAATGTAACAAATTCTAACTTGACAGGAACTTACATCACAAGGTAACTGGACACAATCAAAATTATTTATCCTGTTGGTGGTGGCACACACCTTTCATCCCAACACTTGGGAGACAGAGGCAGGCTGTTCTCTGAGTTTGAGGTCAGCCTGGTTTACAGAGTTCCAGGACAGCCAGGGCTACACAGAGAAACTCTAAAAGAAACACACATTTGTATTTTGACAGGGCTTCCACCTAATCTGCTTCTGTGAATTCTGCAAACCTATTTACAGGATGAAGGAAGAAGATAAAGCTCGAAATCTTACATATGTGATACTTTAAATGCATTGCCACCTTATCCTACAATCCTCTCAGGGTTCTGCCTGACCAGGTGAGGAATCTTGAGTGACAAGACTCAGAACACCTAATCTTCCCAGAGTGGTTCAGCAGTACTCGGGTCTCACTCAAAGCTCAGTGTAATGTGGACTGACTGTACATCACTAATAAACATAAACTCTTGATTTTAGGAAATAGGCTTGCTATAGTTTTAATAGGAATCACATTTTTCTGCTAATAACAATTTTTTAAAAGTAAAATGCCTATTTACAACTGTGTTCCTTTGGGCTCCAACATATGTAAGAAAAAAAATGAACAAAATTTCATACCAGAGAAAATTAAGATACATTTTCCCTCTAAACTCAACAGAAAATCTAGAAACTCCAGCCCAGGGCACAGAATTAACAAATGACTTCTGCCATTACTAGTTACCACCAAGTGAGAGAACTGGCAATTCTCACTTTACTCCCTCAGCCCTTCCTGCCAATGAAATGAGCAGCAATTACCTCATGTGAATCTAATCCATCAGTTGTAGCCAGAGGCACTTTCCCATGTAGCACTGGGTCAGGCACCTCTTTTATTCCAAATGCTGAAGAATCAAGATCCTCCTTGATCCACATTTCGGGTGAGGAAGCAGCCTCAAGAATAGGAGTTTCTTCTGCAATGGGCACTGAATCAGTGTGGGTAGTTCCTCCCAGGAAAGGGTCACCAGGAGAGAACATTTCCTTCATAGCAGGCACTGCAGGAGCTGGAGTGACAGACCATCCTGGGATGGACACACTAACCATTTGAATATCAGGCTTCTCTGGGGTAGGTTCAAGAGCTAGGGTGGCAGCCTCCTCGAGCACAGGCTCTGCCGGAGGAGGAGTGCCAGGCTCCTCTGCAGCAGACACAACAACTGCTGGAGCACTGGGTTTCTCTGAGGTGGGCCCTGAAAGGGTTGTTACGGCAGGCTCCTCTGGGAGAAACACTGCAGCAGCCTGAGGGTCAGGCTCCTCTGAGGTAACATCCTCATCTCTGAAGGGCACTGCACCAGATGAAGTGGCAGCCTGTTCTGGGGCTGATAACACTTTAGCCGTAACATCCTCCTCTAAGATGACCACTGAGGCAACTGGGATATCCTCCTTGGGGAAAGACACTATTGGCGCAGCCACAGCAGGTCCCTCTGAGGCAGAGGCTTTGGTAGCAGGGCCCTCCAGGGCAGGCACTGCTACAGCTGGGATAGCCTCTCCTGGTCCTGACATGGGTACTACAGCATCCAGGACATCATCTATCATGGGTACTATAGCAGCTGGGGCAGGTCCCTGTTGGCCGGATATCCATTCCTCTAAACCTGGTACAGTGTTATTGGCTTTGGTGATTTGTTCTTCTGGAAAGATGTTCAGGGTTGAATCTAAATCTCTCATTCCCATCTCCCCTTCGTGTGATGACGCCATTCCCAACTCAGGTTCTCTATCATTCATGGTTTCTGTTGCAGCTCTATTACACCACAGTTCTCCAGCCAGCAGAGGCAGACTTAGACTCAGAACCTCTGACTCTGGAGACTTCCTCTGTAAGTCTCTAAGAAAACATACTGGAGCTCCAGCCTCTAAAAGCTTCACTCGACAATCTAGCTCTTTTGTTTTGCTGTCTTTATCACAAACTTCCTTCATGGACAACTCACAAGGGTCTACATTTTCCAATGATGTCGGATTGTTGTTTTCTGGACTAATTATAGCTCCTTTCCCACCTTTTAAATGAATCTCATCTGTTAATAAATTTGAATCAGATGATAACACCTCTACTTCAAGTCCTGAGGTAACATCTTGTTTGTAGTTGGAAGCAAAACTGAGAGGCATCTTTTCCATATACACCTCTACATTCCCCTTAGTCTGACTGCAGTCTACCTGGGACAAATTGCCATTTTCTTTGGCTAGCTCAGAAACAATAAAGACTGGTAGTTTTTCTTCACAAGAAGCTCTGGGATTAGAGTTCAGCAATCCTCCTGTGTCCAGCTCTCCAAGCGGCTCCAATTCAGTCAGAGACTTAAATTCCCCATCAATCTTGGGGCTGAAAGGCACTTTTTCACACTCCTTGCTAACAGTGAAAGTATCCCTCCTGCTATCAGGGTGAGTACTAAGTTCAACAGCTTTAGGCACCTGAGAAGAATCCAGGGCATTACAATATTCACCATATAATCCTGTATCATGGTCCTTTATCCTTACAAGATCCACATGCTGTTCCTTTTCTAAGGCAGCTCCTGGAAAATGACTAATTAAAAGAGAATCTTCTGCATCCTGGGATGGGGCCAGTCCTTCCGAAGAGGCTTGACTCAGCAGCTCAACTGAAGAAGTTACTCCCTCCTCACATAAACATTCCTTCTCAAGTTCAAGAAACATTTGCACAGAATCTGTGTCAGAGAGTTGCTCAGCTTCGGTAGGGCTCTGGAACCCTGAGATCAGATCCTCTAGGCCCTGAGCAGTTCTGTTTTTCATTTCACTGATAACATCTTTGCTAGGCACACAGGGGCAGTTAGGGGATGTACCCTTGGGAACAGAAGCAAGGTGGTCTCTAGTTGGCTGCAGGTCATCAGAGCAGTAAATCTGAGGAAGAGCTATATGGTCAGAAGTTCCCAAGGCGGATGAGCAGTCAGATCCACTCTCTACCACCGCTACTGTGTTTGCTTCTCTTTCTTCAAAAATCCCTGTCAAGCTCTCTCTTTTCTCCGACAATTTCTCTTCTTCCCACTCCTCCTCAGCCTCCATCATGATCCATCGCTCATCCTCCTCAAATTTTAACTCAGACTCTGTTTTTTCTCTCAGGTTAGGTGTTATAAGACTATGTAATTCTGGATCCACCAGCTCTTCACTCAGGCAAGGAGAGAGAGGTGGCAGTTCCACAGTGCAGGCAGTGTCCCCAAGGGGGAGCTGCTTCTCACTGAAGCCTCCCTTAGAAGTTTTCATGGCCCTAGGCCAGGTTGCACTTGAGAATCTGTGTTCCTGCATTTCATCGGAGTTACCACTTGCTGCTGTAGCTTCTGACTCCAGAGGCTGGAATTCATGTGGAGAGCTCTCACTGTGCAGTTGGAATCTCAAATCCTGGCAGTCTTGCAAGTTTTTTCCATCTTGCACTTCTGGAATATCTACAGATTTGGACATGTGTTCCAAAGTTACAGACTCAGATTGAGGTTCCCTGTGGTCAAAGTGACCAGAACTTTCTGTCAATGCAGAACTGGATATCTTTTTCTCTTGTAAGGAAGGATTTGAAGCACCAGCTTCTGAGACTTCACTGAGAGAAGCCTCCATCCTTTCTGCGAATTCTGGGAAGTTGGGTGGCATGAAGGACTTCCATGACCTCCTGTTAACGTTATCTTTGCGCTCTGCATTTGGCCGACGTCTGGGTGGCACAGGAGCTGACTTCTGTACATCACTGCTTAGTTTTAATGCATCAAATATTATTCTCTCATCCAGTTTCTTGCCTTCTGGCACTCTAGATTCAAAAACATTAGATGATGCTCCTAATGTACCGTTGCTGGATATGGTACTTCCTTCCATCTTCTCCATGGTGCTTTTGGAAGTCTGATTAAGTTTTGACCCCTGGTCAATCTGTTCATTTATCCTCATGGTATCATATATAGAGCGCTGTGGAACATAGCAATCTTCTATATAGCCATCTTCCTCTTCCCCTTTCCCCAGGCAGGTGGGGTTCCGCCTTAAACAGTCTGGCCTGCTAAGTGGCTTACCCATACTTTTCCAATAAAAATGAACCATCAATCTTTCACAAGTTTTTTTTCTCCCAAAGGTTCTCCAAAATACATTCTACACGAGTTATAAGTCTTCTTACATGTTTATACTCTAAACCACCAATTGCATCTGCCTTTCAGAAATATCTGGTAGTTCCAATTTGAAACCATTTTGGGAGAAACTCTAAGACAAACAGGTTTTTCCTCACAGGCTAGAAGCCTCATAACTGCAGGCAGACAAATGATATTATTTAATCAACAAGCATAAAATAGTTACGTGTATGGCTTCTGGTTTTACTTTTTGAAAGAGTACTGCCTTTTCAAATTCGGTCAGCAAAAAACATTTGATACTGACAAGTCTCATTCGGTATCTAGTTTCACTCAATTCTCACCGAAGCCGAGTAGAAAGCAGAAAATTTGTATCAAGTATGTCCTTTAATAACAATGGCACACCCTCTCTAGCCTTCAAGTATGGTCCAAGCTCCTAAGAATTCCTTTCATTTTATCCTGTGTTCAGTCCTGAAGAGTCCAGCTGGTCTGAATTAGCCATTCGTCCTCTCTAGTTGGGGTGTTTGCATTTGAACAGGGCTGGTCAGCGGATATTCCTGCAACTTTAAACACAGGAAGTCCTTCATTCGGGGCCAGCTTGGGGCTTCCTGTCTCCAAAACATCATGGCATTGTTGTGGCTTCCAAGCCAACACTGTATCGTGGCCGCAAAACAAGGAGAGAGGAGGCCCTCTCTGGGCCTTTCAGAAGGCGGGCAGGCTGCGGCAGCGGCCAAGGGGCAGTGAAGGACTCACTCAGCACCGCCCCGCAAACCCACGCCATGCCTCATGCCCGGAGGGCCAGGGTCGCCTCACCGCAGCCTTGCAGGTGGCTCCGGACGCGCTGGCCTCCAGTCTCGCACTCAGGAAGTTAGTTTGTCCCTCGGGCAGCGGAGTCCCGTGTCCTGTGGGTGCCGCCTCCCAGGTTCCCGACCCCCAGCCGCTACGTCGTGGGCTGCATGACAAGCAGTCGCCTCTTTTCTCCACCACGCCGCCGGCCCTGCGGCCGTCCTCCCCGCCCGCAGCTGTCACGGTCCCGGCATGCAAACTTCTTGCTGGGAACAAAAGGCTTTGCTCCGGCCGCACGAGGGGGGCGAGCCCGCCTCTCTCACGCCGCGCGGCCCGCTCAGCCGCCGCCGGCTGGAACTGCTCCGGTGGCGGGCGACTCTCCTCCCCCTTCCAGCACCGCCACAGCCGCCGCCCCGCCCGGGCAGCCCCCTTGGAAGCCCGGGAGCGCGCGGCGAGGACAGCGAGGGAGGAGGACGGGGGCGGGGCCAACAGGGAGCCCCGCCGGGAGGGGAGGGGGCGGAGGCAAGGATTGGAGGCTGAGGCGCCGAGGGAGGGGCGTCCCGGGGTTGGGGCGAAGGACCCCAGAACGTCCCGCGCCACCCCTCCGCAGCTCACTCTCTCCACACCCATGAGCGTCGGAGAGTCCCTGCCCGCGAGGGTGAGCGGAGAGGAGCAGTCCTGGTCACACAGGGCAAATCCCCTGACAAAGGAAAGCCCCACCCTCCTAGCGCTGCCCCCCCCTTCTTTCCAACCCACGGGATACGAGCCCAGCCCAAGGGCGAACCCAGAAGGGGCGCCCCCGCCTCCCCTACTGCCAGCCGGTTGTGGCTAGGGCCACTCGGGGACCCATCTGCCAATAGAGACTCACAGGATGGGGTGGGCGGTCTGCACTACCCTAGGTTCCAGTTCGACCGCCAACGATTGTCCGTGTATATTTCCAATGTCACCTCTGGCGCTGACCAAGGAACAGTCAAGTCTTAAACACAGTCTTTTCTTGGTATCCCATGGAATTAAGTTAGACTTAGAAACCAAGTTACTGGGTAAACTCCAGGCACAGTTTCCCTTCTCTTCTCAAGTTTGTCAGATTTTGGTTCATTGTGCCACCTGGACTTTTCTGCCCAGACTTCAGCGGTCTTAATGACCAGAAAATGGGGTTCAGGTAGGGGAGCAGTGGGCACACTAGCAGGAACAGCCCATGCCCAACACCTGGACTGCTTTTTCATTGCCGTGCACGTCTAAGGAAACCTGAAGCCTCCTTCTGGCTAGATGAAAAGTATGAGTCTGTATTTCAAGTCTCAAAAAAGAAAATAATAGAGAAACGTGTTACACAATAATGAACACCCCTTTCTGCCTTTTAGCAAAACTGCCTGGTGACCTGTAACTGTTAAACGAAGTACAGAGAGCAACCCAGGAGACTGCCTGCAAGAGGCAGCTTGCATCTCTGTAAGGTGTAATTCTTTACTCCTTTGGGATGGTCCCTCTGATTTTATGAAGGTAAAAAAGAATGTCTAAATTCCTATTGGTCTACGTGATCAATATAGATGGTAAATTCTTTTTTTGTTGTTGTTTTTGTTTTTTGAGACAGGGTTTCTCTGTAGCTTTGGAGCCTGTCCTGGAACTAGTTCTGTAGACCAGTGGTCTCAAACTCACAGAGATCCGCCTGCCTCTGCCTCCCGAGTGCTGGGATTAAAGGCATGCGCCACCATCGCCCGGCTGGAACTACCTCTTGTAGACCACGCTGGTCTCAAACTCACAGAGATCCTCCTGCCTATGCCTCCCGAGTGCTGGGATGAAAGGCGTGCGCCACCACCGCCGGCTTAGATGGTAAATCTTAGGAAAGTTATTTCCACTCTCTACACAAACAGTAAATAAAACCAGTCATTGGTGTGTGGAGACCCAGCAGTGAAACTTGGAGTTAAGCCATAGACGTATCTGAGGAGCAGCAACTTCCTTTGTAAAATGAGGTACAGGCTGAAGCCTATCATCAGACTAGGCAAGTAAAAGGGAGCTTTGCCTGGCAAAACACTTCACACTTCATTTCTCACTTCAAAAGAAGCTGATCAGTTTTACCCACTCAAGTACAAAGACTCTTCATCTGCAAATGGAAGGAAGTGCTGGGATGTTCTAGATTGTATTGTTTTATTCTAGATACCCTATTCCTTAAATTTACAAGTTTTAAAAGAGCTATTTAGAATCCAGTGACCTGGTGACCAGTGACCTGCAAGACACCAGAAAACTCTTCTATAAACACAGTGTGAAAAGAATCAAGAAGACTTGATCTAGAGCATGTTCCAGGGGATATGAGCAACATTATCTATCCAAGGAGCTGGGACGTGGGAGGGAGGAAATTTGTTCTGAATGTCTTCTTAAACTGGCACGCCAAGATCCAAGGGCAGATTTCAAACCATCAGTTTTCTCACAGTTATTCAAAGAAGAAGGTGTCTCCTAAAAGAGTGACTTTTCTGGTCCCAGAGGAGTGTGAGGAGAAATTGAAGCAGTCATGTGGCAGAGCAACCTTGTGAATCAGATTCACAAATCTTACAGCTTGTTCGGGATGAGCCTTAAAGTTCCTGCACCCCTGGCACACTGTAACCAAAGGGCAGATCAGCTTACTGCCCTGATTCCTCACAATTTATGGAATTCAGGTTTTAATTTTGTTGTAATCATTCAATACAACTAGAAAACCCCAAAGAGGACAGAATTAATTTCACTAGCAAGTCTTCCTAGCCAAATACATCTACCAAGTGTTCAGATATCCTAACAGACTGTGTAGCATGCCAGGGCCCCTCTGGTTGGAAGAATCTAAGGAATTCTGGCTCTGGACTTAAGGGTGGGTGGTTATCCCATTATAAAGAATGATCTCGATGTGGAATCACAGCCTTCACAGCCAGGAATTCCTTTCCTGTTTCCTCACCAAGGCAGGTGCCTATCACAGCAGTCTTTCCCTAACTAACCCCTCCTCACACCTATCTACCTTGTTTTACTATTCTAGTAACAATCTAGCAACTGGGTTCAGACTCAAATTACTTATCAGTTTTAGTCATGCTCTATTTAATTAAGGTGTTAAAATACCACAGAGAAACTTCCTAAAAGTTTAAACAAAGCCTCTAGAAAAGATTCCACAAGGCACGATGACTATTCCTTTAACCACAGTCCTCCCATTCAGGAAGTAGATCTCTGTGAGCATGAGGCCATCGTGATCTTCACTGAGGTCTCTCTCTCTCTCTCTCTTTCTCTCTCTCTCTCTCTCTCTCTCCCTCCCTCCCTCCCTCCCTCCCTCCTTCTCTTTCTCTTTTCCTCTCTCACACACACACCAAGACATTATAGACCTACAAATCCAATGGTTCCACCCCTTCAAAAACAACCACCAAGAAGCCTCCTAGTTTTACTCCTTTTTGTCCTTGGTATCTGTTACACAGAAGCAAGGAGATAAAGCACAAGGAAGGCCTCGTCTTATTTTTTATCTGTTCACGAGTATCCCTTTAGTTTTGGTATGTGGAATTCTGCCAGTAGCCATCTGACTAAAATAAACACTTGATTCAGTTCTCACCCTCTTGTTGCCTTGATAGCTCTAACACAAAAGGCATCTGGACATTCACATGCCCTACTAAACTTCTGAGGGAGAAACCCAGGGAGCTCCAGAGTACTTCTTCCGATGCTTTCCCCACCCTAAAACCACAAATGGATGTGTTCAAGCCACATTTCAAATTAGTGTCCCGTTAGTTGATTACAGAGCTCAAAAAATTCCTACACACTTTGGAATTCCTAAGAAAAGAATCTGGTGTCAGATTTTCCTTTAGTGAACCTAAATGAGAGAACAATGTTGACCCCTCTAGCTTCTTCCTGCTGTCTTCCTAATTAAAGTGAGCTGGGTGGAGTCCTCTCATACACTCATACCAGCCCCCTTCAAGCTTTGGATCTGGCATTGCCTTTGTCTGCCCAAAATTGAACTGCCAGCTTGCCTGAACAATCTAGAGACTCCCACATTACCATACCTCAGTGAATGAAATGCCTTTTCATCTTCATCTACCTGCCAGGGACTGACTCCCTCCCTCCCCCCCTCAGGATTCACTGAACAGAAGTTGGATACAGGGGGCTAGATCTTGGGAATTTTAAATCTTCAATTTAGACTTCATGAGCATTACTCAGGGACAAGTGAGAACTCCACAGTATTAAGTGCTGGGCATCAGTGACTACCATGTTTTGTGTTTTTGTTACTATAAAGATAGCACACACTCTGTGTGGCATAGAGATCAACAGAATATGATATAAATTTCTTTTTCTTAAATTTTGTTTTAAATAGGAAACCAAAGGTTTTGAAGATATTTGAGTTCTTGTGTATTCCTGAACTCCTAAGAAAACCTTTCACACACTCTACAGGAACTCCCATGGCCCTTGAAAGCCCTTTGGTGCTTGAAGACTTTCCAAAAGACAGTGTATTGATTTCTTGTTTAGATTAATGGTTAGTTACCAAGAAGGAGATGACAATAAAAATGGTGAGGTTTTACAAGTTAGAGAGACCTGACAGAAGGTAGGAGACAGGAAGGCAGGAGGAATCAGAGAAGGTTTCAAGGAGGGAACATTTGTTCACTGGGATATTTATTGTTTATTTATAGGCATTAGGGTATTTATTTATTTT